TCTTACTCTGGACCTTCTTTCTGTAGTTGAAGACCCAGATGTGGCAGCTGCTGAAAGGACATGACCACTTGCAGGATGAATTCTCTGTCTTCTTTGATCACTTACGGCCATCAGCCAGCCGCATGGGAGACTTTGAAGAGATTAATTGGACAGAGGAGAAAGAGTATGAGGTGGAGACACTTTCCCAAGACTAGGAGAGAGAAGTAGGAGGCTAGGGACTGATGGCCCTAATAGGGAGGCTATGAATTTGGAGTGGAGGAGATTTGGGATTGTGGGTGCTTGGGGACATATTGGGGGTGGCCATTTCAAGCTCTGTGGCCCATTTATGTTGTTTCTAATGTGACTGTGGTCCTGCTGCCCTGAAACGGGGCTTGATGTTATGAAGCCTCTTTGTGGAAGGTGGCAAGAAAGCTTAAGTCCAGTGAAGAGCACCTCTTGCCACTCTGGTAACATAGCCTCTGTGCTTCTTTTAGTTTGATGGGTTTGAAGAGGTGTCATTACCAGAGGTAGAAGAGGAAGACGAAGCCCCCAAGCTGCACACAACCTCGAAAAATAGAAAGAGGAAAGAGATTGGAGGCCAGAACAATGACAAGGTGGGACTGGGATGTATGATTAGCCCATAGCACGTGGCCTCTTCAAAATTCCTGGCAAATGCATGTCTAGGAGGACTGATGCGTATGTAGAGAGATGATCCCAGTCTCTAAAGTGTTAGGCAACAGAAAGGCTTCTGTCCAGACTTCACCTACTTTGATCTCTGGCAGCTTATTTGAATTCTCCTTGGGGACAACAGTCTGGCCCTTTGTCCCTCGTGTCTCCTCTGATAGACTATCCATCCTGTGACACACTTCTCTTTGGTATGCATGTGCTACATATGCAGCTATCAGCTGGCCTTTGTTATTTTTTCCAGGAGATGGAGTGGGCAGATGGGGGGAAAGAATGTTCATGCTCTTGCCATGAAGGGAGTAGTGACCTCAAACTAAAGAAGAGCAAGAGGAGAACTTGCAGCCATTGCAACAGTAAGGTCAGTTGAAGGGCAGAACACTGGATAGTGAGAGCAATGGACAGTCCCGCTGCATATCCCATTGTTCAGTATTTTGATGTTCTACTGGGTCTTGTCCCTCCTGTCTCCAGACTGTTGAATAAAACAAAAACTCACAAAACATTAGGTGTCTATGAACACCTACTTCTTAAGCTCTGAGTGTTGGCGATGAGCCTCTTTCAATGAGTGTCCTGCTTGCTGTTTACTCTCCCTCACCACTGTATTAGGTAACAGATTGTTATGCTCCTCTAGGGCAGGGAGTAAAGACTCTGGAGAGGAAGCTTGCATGGTTCCTGTGTGAGCTGACCATTCATCTAAAAACCCACGAGTAAATAAAGGAGGCTGAGTAGGAACTGGGGGGATAGCGAGAGTTGTCTCCAGAGCTGTAATGCTGTGGCCTGGGCAGATTCACTGAGTAATAAAAAGTTTCATATTGTCATCTGCAGGTGTGTGATAACAAATTCTATAAAAATAAAGATTCCCAGGAGCTTACTGGCAGCCTCTCTCAACAAGAGTTGAGCCCTCAACCTGAAGGAAAGGATCCTGTGATGTGTAAAGAGTCTGCAGAAGAGAACCTGGAGTACAGAGATGTGGAATGTGTCCAGAGCAGAGTAAAGACCATGTCTAGGAAAGCAGACTCTCTGGCTTCAGGTTAGTGAAGGTCATATGCATGGACAATAAGTACTGCATACCTGTGCTGACTGGCTCAAGTGAAAACTAAGCAGTATAGGGCTTAAGTGTCTTCTCCAATATTAATCAGTAGCCTATCTGGGCCAAAAGCATCTATCATCCATCCATTGTGAACTGCCCTGATTGTTCTTGAAACACTTGGCTCTGTGGCCTGCATGACAAACTTCATATCTTCTTCATATAAGCTACTGGTAGACTTGGGTGCCCTCTCCATCTTTGTTCCATCTGTTCATGATGGCCCCTAGTTATTTCCCCCATTCTCATCTTAACACAGCAGCTCAAACCAGTGTCCCTTCAGCCTTCCTCTAAAACATGAGTATTCAGCCTTTTTTCTGGGTATGCTTTGGGGGTGGGGGGAGGATAGTGATGGGTGCAAAGCACAGGCGAGGTTCTCTGTGTTCTCTGGTTTATTGGTACTTTGCAACAAACTTGTTCCTACTAACAGCTAGTCTAATCTTGTTGAAATTCTTGGGTAGGGTCACGCCAGGAAGGAAAGATGATCTTATGCAGAGCTGTGTCTTCTGAAGGAGGAACACTTCCTGATAGTCAGCTCTCAGAAATGCAGTCTGCGAAAGCTGGTATTACTGATGCTGCAAAGGGAAGTCAGTGTGGCAGCACTCCTGGTTGGCCCCATGTACAAAGAGTTAATCTGAAGCTACCTCAGCAGACAAAGAACAGCCTTTGCACAGTAGGAAGTAATAGTGAAGTAAGACTGAATCAGAAACATCAAGGAGATGGCCCTGCCAAGGACATTTTAGGGTCTGCATCTGCTAAAAGGAGAGGCTTCACGGGGGCTGGTCCAAATCCTGGAAGGAGTTTGCAACAGAACACAGCCTCTCAGTCACATTCATCAGCAAAACCTACTGTCCTTGAAGGAAAACTTGAAGGAAGGCAGAACTGGGCTACACCAGTCACAAAACTGGAACTGAAGGCACTGGGTAACAGCTCACACTCACAGGCCTCCAGTAACCACAGTGTTTCAGAAACAGATTATACAGTCTGTGCTGAAGAGTCTCCTGTTGACCTGAAAGCACAGGGCAGGCTCAAGTCAAATACCTGTGACTGCATTTTCCAAGTGCAGCAACAGTCTGAGGAGCTGGAGTATAGAGCAGCTCCTGCCCCCTTGGAACAGAGAGAAGAGGAGCTGCAACAGAAAGTCATGGAAGCTACTGTGTGCGCAAAAAACAGCAAAGTCAGCTCTACGGGGGAGAAGGTTGTTCTCTGGACGAGGTATGTGCTTGTTCATCAAATATTACATTCCTGTTGTATCCAGTGTTGGTGGAAAGTCCTCTGTTAGTGAAAAACTTCCTGAATTTCCAGCTTGCTAACGTTTTCTTTCCTTCTCCCCTAGTGTTTTCAAGCCCATCAAAGGCAGCTAAAATCATGAAATATGCCTGTCCTTTCTCATTAAAAATACTATCTTCATTATGGGCAGCTATAATTGTAATACTGTGGGTAGGGGAAAAGTATGTTTCCTGCAGGATCCCCTTCCAGGGAGGAGGCTAAGCACAACTTGTGTTGGAGTTGGCCTTTCCAAGTACCAATGCCAGGTAGAGAGTCTATTTTTGCACACTAGATAGCTGCCCTCTCTGAAATAAAGGATCTTCATGTATGAAGTGCCTGAAGGGGCAGTCTCCTTTTCTTGCCCTATATTAAACTGTTAAACTTCTTCCAGGGAGGCTGACAGAGTCATCCTCACCACCTGCCAGGAGCGAGGAGCCCATCTGGAAACCTTCTGTGCCATTTCACAGAAACTGGGCAATAAAACTGCAAATGAGGTAAGAGCTGTGGGAAGAGGCTGCACACCGCAGAGTGAGCAAAAGAAGTGCTGAGAGGCAGAGTTGGTTACTGCATTAACACACCAGTCCTGGGTTCTATTCCTCCCTTGTACCATAAGCAAAACCAGACTTAATTCCTGTCACAGCTGCTGAGGATTACCAAGAGAACTGAAGTTGCACAAGGTGTTGCAAGTTAGGATATGCATCATCAGAAGGGGGACTGGTTCTCTAGATTTACAGTTTTACAACCCCTATAGTAATGGTTCTCAACCTTTTTAGACTCAAGGCACCCCTTGGAAAAGGTCAACTCTTAGCTTTCACTTATTGCTTGACTATGGAAAAATTGAGTTCTTGCAAAGAACTCAGAAAGCCCACAGCAGCTTATAAAGTCTTTTTACACTGGATTCCTATTTGAAATCGGTGTTTTTCTTGTATTTGCACATTTAACAGACCTAATATTGCACAGCCTCCTTATAAGGCTCTGTAATTGAAACTCACAGACCTATGGAATTCCCCGCCATCCTATACTAGCCCTCACTTCCTTGAATTTCCCTTGTGGCTAAATACTCCCTATGGAGAATGTGTGAACTCTTCCCTTAAGAAGGAAGATGATTTTGCCCAACAAGACGAATCCTGAGACTTACAGTGGTTTGCTCTTACCACAGTCTAGCTCAGCTCCATTTCTGTAATGCAGATGCAGCCCCCTCCCCTTGTTTTCTTCACAAAAGTGTATTTAATCTTTGCTCCCACTTGCATAAATCTTTGTTTAGACTCTGTACGCTCTTACTATTATACAAACAACTTTGGGGGGGCCTTACTTCTGGTCTGTCTTGTTCCTCAGGTTTCCCATCGATTTAGGGAACTAATGAGGCTCTTCCACACATCCTGCGATGGGAGCTCTGAGGATGAAGAAGATGCAACAAGCACCAGCAATGCAGACCAGCTGTCAGATAAAGATATGCTCCTTTCTGAGGAAGAACAGGATGACTGAAGCTTTAGGTTGTTAAAGAAACTACTTCAAAAAGGTAGCTGCTGGCCAGTTTGCTGCTAGATGGATGCTCTGGTGGAGGTAGGCATGAGTGTTTGCACAGGGCTGTACTTAATACGGCACCTTATTTTTTTGGGATGACACACCTGTGACAAGCTGTATGCCTACATAAGCACAGACCTGAATCTATCATGTGAAGCATTGTTGGGACAACATTATTCAGCCACCTTTCAAAGGAGAATGTTGTAAGGATTCTTTGGAAAACAGGTGATTGAGTACAGTGGCTTAGACGCTGGATCCATAGCCACTCTGGGTTGTGAAGCCCTACACTAAGTAGCTCTTTGAAGTCTACTGGATTATTGTGGATAATGCAGTTAAACTTCTTGTGTAAATAGTGTATCACAACATGCCATTGCTTTCTTGGGAAGTAAATACTTTCCCAGTTTTAATTTTTTTTTGTTTTGTAAATTTCCTTGATGTGCCCATTCCATATCTGGATAGGTTATAAACAAAAAAACCCCATATTTATTGTGAGTTTCAACATACTTTAAAGCATAACTTAACCTCCTATTCTGTGACGATAAAGTGGCAGTATCTGTGCAAGTACAAGCTTGAAGAACCCCATATCAACTTCAAGCAGAAAAAGACTGGTACTTGTATGAAGGTTCTCTCCTTTACACCGGAATTAAAGGTTGTTGAACAGATTGTAAGCCCCCCTTTATTACTGTAATAGAACTTTGGCCTCACAGACTAGTTCTTTTCAGAAAGCTGTTCGTTAGTGGTTATATTAATTTGACACTACTGTCTTCCCCAGCTTGGTGTTAGTCTGAGTCAGCTTCATCCTCTGACTCATCTGGCTCCGAATTTCTTTTATAGCATTGGGATAGAGTTCTTAATTCATGCAGGGCTTCCTGAAAGTCATCAAGTTCAACTCCTGCAGCAAAAAAGCTAGCCCAGCGCCGCACATCTACTTTCTGTAGTTCCTTGTATAAATTGTAGAGTGCTGTATGCAGAACAGGTGAGGACTGCAGTGCTGTTAGTACAGGAATACTTTCAACAACTGTGGGGGAAAACATCTCCATTAAGACAACTCTGAAAGCAAAGTCCAAGTACATCACCTACCATGCTTTTTATCCATTCCCCTTTTCATCTTTCCTTACTAGAGGATATGTTTTGATAGACTGTAAACATAAGCCATCTCCCTCCATCTACTTATGTCTCTTTTCCTGCTAGTTTTTTTTTATGTAAACTGGGAGGGAGAAGTGCATGTACATGTTAGCATCTTACCTGCTGAATGGGAGCGAGGCTTGTCCAGGAGAAAACCTTGTTTGTTCAGAAGAGGGGAAAAAAACTGGGGATATGGGGACTGCACTTTACATGGGCTCTGGAGCAAATGTGAAATGCTGCCATGGAAACAAATTGAGCCAGTTAGCCAAAGTTTACCACTGTCAGTGCCCAGTCAGTGACCCTTTTCCTCCAACATTGTATTACCAACCTTAATGTTCCAGGGGACAGCATATTTAAGTAGTTTCCCAGAACCTCCTCTCCAGTTTCATAAACGTGGAGGGCAGAACTAGGTTGTGTCCCAGGAGGAAAATTACTGCAAATAAATGAGCATGCATTATAAAGCTGATAACTATGCCTGAGCCAGAAAGCTGATGTCCTGAAGTCAGTAGCAGCTACTTAAATAATGCAAGGGTCCTGTAATTCTTCATAATTAACAGACCCTTATTACTAAATCCCAGCCCCTCTTTTAACAGCCTGAGAGAACAGGTATATTGTCTGCTGCGGTGTCTCAAGAGCTAGACAATCCTTCCAATAAGTTCCTGTTGCCACTACCATTAAGTGCCTGAGCTCAAAAATAGACACAGGTCCAGCTCTCTCTTACCTGATGTGATTCTCTTTGCCAATTCCTCTCAGCACAACAGATTGAGCAAAACAGAAACTGTCCTTTTGCTCCCCACATGAAGACAAAGGTTTCCATGGCACTGCATGCTGATAGCTGCACAAAGCATCTGGCAGAGAATGACCATGTGATAGAGAAAAGGGTACCGCAGCCCCTGCAGCCACCACCTGAGAGCCAGAGAAATAACAGGCTTGTAGAAGAGCCTGTAACAAATGGGATCCCACAGCTTCAGCTGAGGATTAAGGAGGACTTGTGCAAAACTGTGTTTGAAATAACCAGCAGACACATGACAGCAGGTTACATAATGTCCAAACACTCATAACTAAGAGGACAGGTGTTGTCACTGAGGAGGTAGGTGGACACTATTTTGATGGAACAAATTAACTTGCACCCACAGCATTAAACAGTGAGTCTAAGAGGTTGAGCAATTATGCTTTTTAGAATGAACCCAACCTTTCTCCCAGAGAAGTTCAGTGCTTCTGCGAGCTGCATCATGGAGAGCTGAGAAGTATGGAGTCTGTAGGGAACAGTCATGGTCTCCAGTGCTGCTGCCAAGATTGCACTGCTGTGATAGCTTAGAGAGGCCTGCAGAGAAGTAATTAAACCACAGCAAAGTTACTGTATGAAAATGTTACTTAAGTAAAAAAAAAAAATTCTGTTGCTTAACCAAGGGACCAGTACTGTAGCTTCTATTAGCAGAGACAAAACAACAGAGTCGGCAAGACAAAAACTTAGATTATTTAAAAATTTGGTTAAATTTTTTACAGCATAGGCGACAGATGCTCATTGGTTCTGGTGCACTAATCTGTTTTGAGGTTTTATTCAATCAGGAGAAAGCTGTTTAATAAAAAGACTTCATACTGTTGCTCATTCCCTCATTAACAACATTTCCGTGGACACTAGTGTAAAGATTCCATATGCTGCTACATGTGTCCAGGTGGGGAACGTTTACGTTGACCTGGGATCAGATTAAGCTTAGGTTGCTGGAATTGATCTAATGCTGATGGAGGATTGTGAATCAGACTGCAGCAAGCTACCGTCTGGCTGAGCTTAGAACTCTGACACAGTTTGGATTTCCTCTGCAGTTGCTCACATGCACCACCTAACCACACAGCAAGTCAGTTAAATAAGATCTGAAGCCCACGGACTGAGTTCAGCTCTGGGGCACAGCCCCTCTGGATCTGTTGTAAATAAAAGCTGCTGAAGTTTGTTCAGAAGGGATCACAGAAGAGTAGGGCTGGAAGGGACCTCATGAGGTCTTTTACTTCTGCCATCCCTGACTGAGCTATCCCAGTGGAGTGTCTTGTGTAACCCATTTTCCAGGGATGGAGATTCCACAGCTTCCCTACATTCCAGTGAGTGCTTGACCATCATCATGGTCAGAAAGTTCCTCCTAGTCTTCAACCTAAATTGCCTCTGCTGCGTTTTGAGGCCATAGCTCTTAGTCTTGAGGAAAAATCCATGTCTGTTCTCTTTGTAATCACCCTTCAGGCATCTGAAGACTGTTACCAGATCTCCCCCATCTCTTCTCTTCTCCGGACTGAATAGCCCTAGTTCCTTCAGCCTTTCCTCTCAAGTCATACTTCATAGGCTGTACTGGACTCTAACTTGTCCATGTCTTTCTTGAAGTGTGGGGCCCAAAAGTGGACATGATGCTCCAGGTGAGGCCTCCCCAGTGCCAAACAGAGCGGCAGGATCACATTCCTTGATTTGCAAGTCTGTTGTTCACCTTGAATTAATTCACATGGTTGAACTGGAGAGTACAGCAGAGGGGAAAGGTGAACTACAGACATGTTCAAGGAGAAAGCAGATCAGTATTTCTCTATTATCGGAGAATAACTTGCCTGTGAATAAACAAATCACCCGTACAACTTTTATAAGGTCACTGGCAAGGGGCTTTAGGTTTTAAATCGAGGGGAAATAAGCATTTAAAATGTGGGATGGCTTTGAAATATTAACGGTGGGTCAGAAGTGTTTAGAATTTGAGAACGTCTCTCTACATGGAACATCAGTTTGTTTTTATTGGTACGACACAGTATGGAATAGACTGTCAAGCTTCCCATACCGTAAGTGCTCCCGAGGGCACCCAGGGTCAGTGCACACAGCATACTTACATCATAATGTATGTATGGTAACGTAATGGGCGCTTGTGGCCTGAGGCCCAGGCTTCCATTGAGTGACAGGGGGCAAAAGAGCGAGCTGTGACTGGAGACGTGGACAGTTCCCAACACTGTGTTCATAAGCCTGTAAAAATCCTTGCAGGGATCCTGCAAAGAAAACCAGAGATACCAAAAATCCGTCTAACTTGCACGATCTCCTCATACCACCTCACTTCCCCACTATTCACTTACTCCAGTATTAGAAATTATTGGTGTTAACCCCCAGGACAGGATTCCTCTCCCTGAATATTCATCGCAGAGCAGTTCAGTCACTTTGGCTCCAACCCCCGAGAATCCATCATGCATGTCGCAGAGAATCTGAAAACCCTGTTTAGAGGGACAAGTGGAATCTAAATTTCTACTGCAGTGCAACAAGAAAAGGTTCTCAAACAGCTAAGCCTGGCATAGCTGCACATACCTGCAGATAATCACACTCCTCTATAAAGAAGTGCAGTTTATCTTCCAACTCTTCTAGGTACGTGGGCTCACTCAGGAGACTTTCACCCTGCCCAAAGGCTTCCAGGCGATTGGAATCCCTAGAAGACAGAACAAACTGCGAGTGGCATTTGCTCCTTTCAGCCTTTTGGGGCATCCTTTAGCAGGAAGGACAGAATTCTTCCCCCACTGACCTGTATGCAATTAGCAAGGTGCTTGAACTGCAGTAAGCCCACTGTACTATCTTGGCGCTACACTTAATGTTGCCTCATTTTGCTTTTGAGATGAAAAACCTACCCATCGTGATTGTACCGCTGTATCTCAAAGATGCTCCTAGGATGTAAGTGCACTCTAAGGTAATCGGACCAAACTTGTCCTCTGCCCTCCAGATGGCAAGCGTTCTGGGAAGCATCTGCAAACAAGTTATTACAGCAAATAGGCCTGCATCCCTCATGCATGAAGCCATATCTCTAATCCACACAATAGGTAGGGAGGGTTTCTGTTGCCATTTCTTTTCCTACCCCTGGTAACTAACAAATCTTGTTCCATTATTGTCTGTGCCCCTCACACTATGATGTTATTACAAACCCTTAAATCACTGCCTCTCTCTCTCAGCTTGACAAGATGGCACTGAATATCTAGTACCTGTGCATAGTTGCGGCATTTTGTGCTAGAATTCTTTAGATGTGACTATAGCTACAATGCAGAGGAAAGCAGGTGCAAAAAGGGGAAGAGCATAGATGAATTTGGACTTTTAACTGGAATACTCATCTTTTTTTTTAATGAAATATTTTACTTCCCAGTTAATTGTTACTAAGTCCTGTCCCCATTTCACTCGTTAAAATTCTCTGAGTTGTACCTTCTGCCTGCAGACACAAAAGACCTACGCACCTTTATCCAGAGGAAGCGCTCCAAGACCAGTGTCTCCATCAGAAGATGTGTTTTCCTGAAATTAAAAAGACAGACACGCAGGTTTTGGAGGATCTGCCATACTTCTAAGTGTTAAGTGGTGGGATGCAGCTTGGAAGTGCAATCTGTATCAGTATAAGATATGAACTCTGAGAGATCTCGTCTCCCTCTGTAATACTCTTCCCCCTCCCTGAAATATTCCACAAGTAACATGTGAACGGTCGCACTAGCGCAGCTACAGCTGCCGGAGAGCTGGGAGGGAGGAACGGGGAGACTTTGGCAAAGGAGCAAGTACGGTAAATCCTGGCATGCATCTTTCTGACCACTCACTGCCAGGCTGTTGCAAGGTGCGATTTGGACGGACACTTTGGTTGTTTATTCAAGTCAGAACAGGCACAGAACATTAAAGAGAAGGAGCTGGACATTAAAGGCTGCATTCACATGACTGCAGCAATGCCAGTGCCGCTATGTTCGCTACAAACAGCCGAATCCAGACCTTGCCCTCCCAGCCGGTCCCGATACGGCTGGTGGGGGGGTTGGTGTGGTCTTCAGAAAGGACTTAAGAGGGAAATAACTGGGCAAATGTTCTTGCTAACGAGGGTGGATCCTGCACCTGGACCCAAAGGAGCATGAGGCCAAGACACGAACGTCTCCCTGCCCGAGCTCACCTGTCCGCCGAGACCCCGCGGGGCCACGTCCTGAGCAGGAGGCCCCTGGTGCCGCGTCGTGCTGCCGTGCCTGCGGGGGAGAAGGGAAAGGCGGGGCGCTGCAGCGCGGCCGCCGGACCCTCAACCCCCCCGCGTCCCGCTCCCCCCCGCACTGACCAGGCCACGGCGTCGTCGCTCCCGGCGTCCCGCGATGAGCTGCTGTCGCGCCGCAAGCTGTCCAGGCTGCCTGCCACGGACACGGAGGGTCACGGGGGCCGGACGCGCCCCCGCGCCGCGCCCCTCCACCCCCCGGGCCCGCTACCTCGCAGGTCCAGCAGCACGAGGCGCGGCGCGCGGGGCTCGGGGGCGCGCCCGGCCCGGT